ATTCATAGAACTAGTACATTTTGAAGGAATATAGTACATTTTTTGAAGGCGCTTCAGTACGTTTTGAAATTTCATTGCTGCAACACTGATCTGAATCTCGAAATTTGCATTACTTTTAAACGCCCTTAAGGCCATTTTTCGACTAGAGACCGGATCTCCCGATCCGTGAACTCCCGGGTACAGATTTTATTTAATCTGTGCCGATTAAGTGGTACAAATTCTACGGATCTGTCCCTGGCTAACTCACACTAGATAATGAGAACTTCCTTACCTCCGTGACCTGTGACACAAGCCACTGTCAACCAAGCAAATCCCACGGTCCAAGCAAATGGAGCAATGCACTGAAAGGCGATGATTATAATTTCGTTGGCCATAATATTTTTCTTGTAACTATGCACTCCAAAAACTGATAATGTCATTAAGACAATGCATCCGGTCCAACAAAGTAAAATGGTAATCTAAGAATTTAAACGGGAAATTCTTAATAAACGGACTACCTAAAAAGTTTAATTTTAGTTTTGGTGATATTACTTTCTGTGAATTAAAAACTAAATGTTTAGAAATTTAAAGAAAGAACGTCTTAAATGAAAATTTTAATATTTACTAACATCACGAGTAACACTCCCGTGAACAGCAATATATCACGCTAGCAGCCTGCAGTTTATTAAATATTAAATATTTATTGAATGTAAATCTATCTGTTCTCTTCTATGCCATGAATTGTTATACAACGATTAATTCTATTCGTAAGATTTTACTATACGTTACGGGAAATGTGTAAGTGTAGCAATTGATTACGTGGAAAAGACGTCATATGCACGAATCTATCATATACGAAAAAAAGGACAGTTGCAAAATATAAGGTTATACCATTTTTTTATTACTGTTTATTAAATTAAAAAAATGAATAATTTATTTTCAATCAATATTTAACTAACAGTCACAATAAAAGGTACGCATTAATATTAATTTAGCTAAACCAGCAATTTTTTATACAGAATTTGTGTTGCAATGCCGAATTGTTCGAACTGGGAACAGTTCGAGTACCGCGACATCGCTGTATTTCGTTAGTTATTTTTACGAAAGATTTTTTACCTACGGCTAAAAAAAACTTTTTTAAAAATTTTTAAATGAATACAAAGAATAATCCATAAAATCAAAACACAGTGACAGACTTAGAGGCTAAAATTTGAAAGCAATGACAACAACCCTGGTTATAGGAAAGCAAAGAGGTAAAAAATCGTATGATTAATTTTTATTAAAGTAAACATAAAAAAAAACACATAATAAATTCAAAATGTCGATATTCCGAAATCCGTAGGCAAATTTTAGACAATATACGAGTACATCCTCATTTTAATAAAATATATCGATTAACGAAGTTTGCAGTTAAAATTGTCGAAGTTAACCAAATTCTCAAACCGTGTAAGAGCGAATCAATTGAATAAAACCTGTGTTGAGGGAGTAAAATCTGTATTGGAATAATGTCGAATTTGAGCATGCGGGTGTGTTTGCAAAAGTCTACATTTTCAGACTCAGAACCCAACAAATAAACAAGATAATTGGGATAATGTTATGTGAATATTTGTGTTGGAGTATTCGTGTGTATTGGCACAATTTCCTTTAATATCTCAGGATAGAATAAATATTAAGAAACGAAATTCGCCACAGTAACTTGTATATAAAGCTGATGTTTTTAAATTCTAATGGTTAAAAAAAAACGATAGAATGGAAAGATGGAAAGAAGTCAACTTATTGAGCTTTTTTTTTTTTTTTATAAAACTCGTCACTATTTTGAAAACTAAGCTTTTTGTCTTTTCAGTAATAATAATAAATGGTATAAATGCTATTTTTATAGCTTATTTTATCTTATTTTTATGAAACCAAAGATAAAGATTTCTAATTTGAGAATAAGTGTATGTTGGTCGTAAATTGGACAATGATACATCATATGGTCGACGGTGTCTGGGTTTACTGTAGAGCAAAAGCAAGAGACAGTTTCTGCCCGGTTATACATCGCCAGGTAGATTCTAAAATTACCATGCTCAGTAAGTAGTTGAGCAGTAGCAAATGTTAAATCTCTAAGTGGTGATAAGAACCTGCATTCAACACTAGGAGAATAGTCTTGTTAATGGTTCATCAGTGAAACTGCTCAACCATTGTTGATTCCATTTTCTCATAGCGTTGTCGTGAATATAATTTTTAAGGCTGCTACGTGAGAGAGGGATGCGAGTGTAGTCCAAGTGAATGTCTTTTGCAGCTGACTAAGCCTCAAAGTCGACTTTTTCATTTCTAAGTATGCCAGAATGGCCAGGAAAATATATAAAAGTTATCTTATTTACAAGGTTTAATACGGTGCTGGATATATGTGATTCTATTGCCATTGCAATCGGAATTTAATAGAGCTTTTAGGACAGACTGAGAATCGCTGTAAATGTCAATAGAGTTTTGTTTGGTAGTAAAGTGGCCCACTGAACATCTTGGTAGTCGTCATTTTCTTCAGCTTGATAGATGGAGGTATGTGGGAAGTACTCGTACCTTCTAACATATTTTTGGAAAAATATGTCAGTTAGGAGAAAGATACAGTTACTTGAGCCGAGACAAAGGGAGCTTTTAGAGCTATCTGTGTAGATATTAATGTCTGCATGGTTATCCATGGAGGAAGCAGATGACACTAAATGTACCATGGCGATAACCTTGTTTACAGGGTGGTGATCACAGATAGTAGGGTAATTGCAATGTGGTAGCATATGAACAGCTGTATATAGGAGTAGATACTGTTGTTGATCTTTAATGTTTGTAGTTGTGATGTAGTAGTTTAGAATATTTTCTACAATACATACTGGGGAAGAAGCGACGCTAGTATCAGAGGCATTAGTAGAAACAGTTATGCAGCGAATGAAATTCTGATAGCAAACTGTCTTTAAATAGAGTAATTTACTTACTACTGAATTTTTACTAGTTTCATGATTACAGCTAGAGGCTGCGTAAAGTAGCATTGGTTGCATTGTCCTATTATAAAGAGTTTTACAAGCTTTACGATTTAGTCCCGGGTGCGCCTAACACATTTTAGTTTATTTTATTGACCTTATACAAGATGTAGTTAATACGGCAATGGAATGTGGTTTTTATTCTCTGTTGTTTTATTTTGCATGACGTTTCTGTTTACACGTGCACTAGTAGTCGATCTGTGAAAGTTTTTGCGTCCTTTTGTGAAAATTAAAATTAATATAAAAATGAATATTATGATGTTGATTAATGAGAACAATAACAATAAAAAAATTGTTAATAATTAAAAAATAAACGTCTTACAATATCAATAAATTGTTCATTCGAATTCATAAAATTTTTTTTTTAAATCTTTCTAGAAAATCATGCCTAAATGTTACGTAAGAAAGAAAAGGGAAGGGGGATCAAAGAAAATATTACGGTTTCTTACACAGGGGTGGGTGGGGTCTAGAATGACCAAAATCTCCTTTACGGACGGCTTCAAACATCGGTTAATCGAAAACGTTCCAGTCGTAGTGTGACGTGCTGAATTTTTGTTTTTATATTTATTTTTATATTTTTTATATTTTATATTTACTTTGTTTGTAGAAAATAAAAAATAATTTTTAACGATACNCTGCATTATAATTCATTATGGAAAAATTTTAATAAGGCTTAATATCGATGAAAATTCAACGCGAAGGGACACACAGCGGATGAAAATTTAAACTTTAATATATGCCCATCAGGTACAGTAGATTACCCTATAACGCGGGTTTATATAACGTAGATTTCTATAACGCGACGAAAAAATTGCGATGGTATTCGTATAAAGACGCTAAAAGGGGCTCGTAAAACGCGGTAAAACGTCATCGCCAACTTGTCATCGTAAACGAGCAGCCGAACTACTTTCCGCCGTCCAGCTTCAGGATAAGGAGAGTTTAGGCGGATAAGTTAAGTTTACTGTCGTCTGTATAGTATGTAAATTAGGTACCGTAATTCTAATAGAGCACTAATTTTATGCATTTTTTGCGAAAGAACCATTTCTTATTCAACGGCCATAAAAATTATTTATATTAATGATGTCTCCAAAGTTCAACGAATTTTTCGCAGAAAAATAACATCAGAAATGCGGCCGCCGTTTGGTGTGCTGCTCCGCGACGAACACAAGCTTAAGCAATGGCGACGTCGGACGATGCACACTCGGTAAGTAATCCTTCAATTTTTTGTTTATAGCATAGTTTATACGGATTATTGCCAAAAAAATTATACGTATTTTGGAAATGTTGCGTCGAATTAGTCTAGGAATCGATTAATTTTATGGAAAAAACCCTTTCAAACAGCCGTAGTCCGTAAACTTCACACGTGTCAGGCTGCGATTGGCTCCTTTATTTAAATTAAGGATTCCAACAACGCGAAATTCGTATAACGAGAAACGTATTTACCGCGTTATAGGAGGTCTACTGTATATTAAAATTATGTATTTTTTCGTACATAATCGGTTATCAAAAAAATCGATTTTCCGACCAACTTCAGTCCCCAATTGATTCGGATAATAGACGATCTACTGTAATGATAAATAATATAATATTAGTATACCTTTCCAAATGTGACCTGCTTCTTCTTCCTTAATATATCTCCAATTAAAGCACCGAAACAATAAGTACCAAGATGAGAATAATATGGTTTAATGTAATTATAAGCAAAATATTTATAGGTTTCCCTAGAATAATAAATAAAATTCTAAAAATATGTTTATTTTACTAACAACCATCCATTATCAAATAAAAAATAAGTTAAAAGTTTATACTCAAAAACTGCAGGTATTCCAAGCATCATGTAATATCTGTTCGAAACTACATCAACTATATACATGATAATCCCTGTTAACATNAAAATTATGTATTTTTTCGTACATAATCGGTTATCAAAAAAATCGATTTTCCGACCAACTTCAGTCCCCAATTGATTCGGATAATAGACGATCTACTGTAATGATAAATAATATAATATTAGTATACCTTTCCAAATGTGACCTGCTTCTTCTTCCTTAATATATCTCCAATTAAAGCACCGAAACAATAAGTACCAAGATGAGAATAATATGGTTTAATGTAATTATAAGCAAAATATTTATAGGTTTCCCTAGAATAATAAATAAAATTCTAAAAATATGTTTATTTTACTAACAACCATCCATTATCAAATAAAAAATAAGTTAAAAGTTTATACTCAAAAACTGCAGGTATTCCAAGCATCATGTAATATCTGTTCGAAACTACATCAACTATATACATGATAATCCCTGTTAACATTGATGCAATTATGGCGAGTCTTCCAAATTTGGACAATCTGCAAAATAATATTCAACAAGAAGTAAAGGAAATCAAAATATCGAGTATTTGTTAAATAATAATATCTTAAACTTTTATTAATACCGAAGGAATAAAGTATTATTATCCAACTCCATCTAGACAAATCTTTAGGGTTTTAAATGCGACCAAGTTTACTTTGGTGTAAGATTTAGTAACAAACTAAAAACAATTCTTTAAAAAATTAGTATCAAATTTTACCACTATTGAGCTTTTGGCGCTAAAAGCAAAAAACATTATATTTGAGCCCAACATTCATGCAAACACACAGGCGATAACGCTGCAAAAGATACTGCTCAATATGTCTCCATTCTGAAGACGTAAAACTTAAAGAAAATGAATGACGTGTGTAATGGCCGAGCCTAATTTATCTGCCATTTATGATCGACAGTTTGGTACTATGTAAGCTGCCAAATTTTACAACTGGAATTCGATAAATTTCACTTTTCGAATATTACCACAACCTAAAATTACACGAATTAAGAACCGAAAACCCAAAAATGTACGCGACTTTGAGATTACACTCTTTAAAATCTACCACTTCAAAGAGAATCCATTTCAGATTTTTATGAAATAATTCCATACGTCCGATATTCTTGTAATTATTCACCAGCATCATTTATACCTAAACACGTTTCTTTGGGTATTCACAAGAACCTTCGTGACGAGTTACAGAGATGAACCGCTCAAAAATTTTCCTGGTCCATACAGCTGATCCGAAGTAGGATATTCCTATCGTGCCAATTTTAAACAGAAAAAAAAAACAGTTAGGATCTCTGGCGATTACAAAAATATTTTGAATAAAGACGTGAAATTAGTTTCTTATTCCATGAGAATCATAAGAGTTAGTTTAAACTTCATCTGCGAGGCTGCAAGTTTTTCAAATTTCACTTCGTGCAGGCTTGTCGGCTACATAGGGTAGATGGCGAAACAGCAATAGAACAAACAATACTAGCCAATGGTGGTGCTTTTAAAATTTATTGCTACTCTAGCAGTGCTCTAGCTGTTTTCGGAACGCCCAGCATGATTACACTGAGGTTCCAAACACCATTGTCAAACTTCTAGGTTTACAGGTAAACGGCGCTAAGTGTCCGACTTACACGTTTTCGCTTTGAAAACGTCTGCCGCAAGTTTTCTATTAAATCATACATTTTTGTTCGCATTTTAAAAAAGTACATACAATATTAAATATTCTTTACTTTATAAATCTTATAACAATCCATTTATTCAATGGATGGTGTAAAGCAGAAAGATTGTAGGCATGGGACAATGCCTACAATCTGTCTGCTTTACACCATTCAAATATTTTTGCTGTGGAAGCTGTTCCGTATTCGACAATACGGCGTTTTATTGTAAATTCGCATACACAAATTTATACTCGAATATACAATAGCAATCTTATTGTTTTTCGTTTATGAATTTTTAATAAAATATATAATGCGGTTATAATAAATTATTAATTTTAAGCAATTGAATATGCAATTAAATATGAGTTTTTTGTAAAACACGACAAACCAAAAATGAAATTTTGAGTTTGTCGTGTTTGTAAATAGTAAACAAATACATTGTGTAAGTCTGTACAGATGCATTTTACGAACCTAGGAGCGACCTGTACTGCCACTTTATGGACCAATTAAAATCATCCCATATAGATTAAACACGCCCAAAATAGTTGAAACACTTTATTAATGCTTATCTGATCGATTTAGCATTATATCACGGAATCATATTACAAAAATAAAGATACATTTTTATCTATTTATAAAAAATAAATTGTAGAATTCTTACCTGTCAACAATATATAATAACAGTGACATTAAGATGGAAAGTTGCAGCAACGCACTGATGAACCATATTACGTCGATAAACACCTAAAATTTTTTTATAAATTAGCCGAATTAAAAATTATAAAAGTACTAATATTCTATTCGATTTACTTACGAATGTGTCATACACACAAATACAAGTAATATCCATAAACTTGCATAAATAACAGAACTTTACATTGGCGTATCCTTATATTATAAACCTCATTGATAAAAGCAATTTCTTCTAATTATTCTGCAGCACTTTTTGAACCAATTACGAGAGAATTTTTCTAAACGATCTCTTAGTAACCATTAAATTAACTGACGGTTTTGGTGTTTCAATATCACTGCTCTCTTTTTACATAATATTACTATTCGATCTGTTTTATAGGCAGTGTAAACAGTGCTTTTTTCATTAACGTGCAACAAAGATATAGGAATTGCAGAAGCAACAGCAACCTCTACTAGAAATACGCTGGTGTTGATCTGCATTATAATTCATTATGGAAAAATTTTAATAATATTTAATTGATTAAAATTATTTCGTAATAGATGTTTTTATTTATAAATAAACTGTTAAAAATTAAATAAAACAGTTAACTTTAAACGAAACAAATTGAAATAAAATTTTAGACATTTTTCGTATCACCAAAACACCACATTTACAGGACTACTGAGTATTTCCACTCTTACAAGTTGCAAAATTTATAGCGAGTTCCGTTTCTTTTAACAGACAATTGACATTAGGATAATCAAATGGAAACATCCTGAACGATACATAGTTATAGAACAGTTTAAAGAAAAGAAAAGTTCACAGAAATTTCAAATTTCCTAAGACGTTACACATTAAAAACATTTGTGCCTGAACGATAAATAGCATATATCTAATACAATGGTTTGTTCAAAACAGCTCGAGTAAATGCAAATTATCACGCAATCATTCGTAATGTCTAAAACTTAAATCAAAAACTGAACTTTAACTTTTATACATTTACCATCGATCCAGCGAGCGAGTAAATATGAATATGGCTGATATATTTCCACCATTCGTTTTCCATGTGTTTTCCCTGTCTAATAATATAATCCCAACGAGGACCTTCTCCAAGAAGAGGCAGAAGAATTACGAAGCCCAAAACGAAGAATATCGGAAGTGTATATCTGCAAGACGAACAAAATATAATACACGAAGCAGTGACAGTAAGAGTTAAATGTTATACCTGATAACTCGCTTGACTAAACACATGACATAGTATTTCGCAGAGTTTCGTCCACTTTTTTGTTTCAGATACATTACCATAAACCCGCTAGGCAAAAATATTATTCATTATTAATTTTAAAAGCAAAAGTATTTTTGCGATAATTCTATAAATGTTACTATTATTATTATGATAGCAAATGTAAATATTTTTCCAAAATTGTATATATATGTAACATTTAAATTAAAGTGATCTTACCTGTAAAAGAAAAATGATTCTATTATAGTGAGGCCTTGGAGAATAATTTCGTATAAAAAAAGATCCATTTTCTTGAATAAGTTGGTATATTTAACTGTAAAATATAAGTATTTTTATTTTTAAAAAAAATAGATAAATAGATAATTCATTGCTCTTATTTTTCCAAATTTTTTCCGTTGCTTTTACATTTATCGTAGCTTTGGCCAAGCAAATTATTAATTTTTTGCATCAAGGATACGATTGATTTTCTGCCACAAATAAGCAGTGTAAAGTTTTATTTTCAATTATCATAAATTAAGTGGAGAACTTTCTCGGTAAGGAAATTTTGTCCTCGTGTTCAACTAGAAAAAGTGTTTTAAAAAGAGTAGCGGACACTTGAAAAAATAACTTAGATTGTCTATTTTCAAACGATTAATTTAAATTTTTAACGTAATTCGTTATTAAATTTATATAATAGGTTGTACCTTTTTCGGTACACGCCGTGACCACTATTCGGTTCTGTAGTTTTTCATGTTCTTCAGCTGAACACACACGTCCTTTTCTTTTCACTATTAAATTTTAGTCCGTATCTTAGTTTCAGCAGCATACAAATTAAAACATGTAGTTTCCAATTCCTTTTGCTTGAACAAAGTTTTCCATCCATGTTTTTACATCTATCACTAAGTTTAGCAAAGATGTTTAACAAGTGAACATATGCGTATGACCTTTGCAAACACTTTGCAAGTATTTGCAGATTAACTTAACAAAAGATTTGAAGGTAGAAAATAGACACTGACAATTTGAACCAATGAAAAACAATCGTGACAAAATTTATCGAATATATTGCACGTATTATCGATAAGAAGGATTTAACCGGCCACGAACGGCATGGCATAAAACACAACACATTGTGCAGTATTAGAGAAAACGATTTCCACACTTTCGTACAATGATTTCGCCTAATTACGGAGAAATTAGTATGTCGCTTCAGCGAACAATTATTCTATTTTTTATTGCGAAATATGTAAAGTTTCGTGTAACAGAAGATCGAGATGTTCTGTAAATATTTTTCTTTGTATCGTATCGTAGTTGACAAGTCAAATAAAAAGCGGAGATACAACCCGAAAGAAGAACAATGAATACAGTAAGACTATAATATAGCGCTTTATGCCTTTATGATCTCAAGATTTGGATCAAAGTATAGTAATTATACAAGAAGTTTTAATAACATTAAAATTCTGCGCAGAAAATTGTCAATAAATTAATAAGGTGTGAGAGAAGGATTTACAAGTTATATAAATATAAAGAAACTATTTTCAAATCGAGCATCGTATGTTCGTAACAAAATAAATAAAGATTAACGTACAGATTTCTTGTTTCATAAAACAATAGTCTACATTTTTAAACATTAATTAAAAGTGATATATAATTATAATTACAGTGTTACATATATAATTACATTTTTTATATTAATTGTGACAGTAAACTAATTGAACAATAGAACAATTAAAATTGTGTTACGGTAGCAAGCCTTTTGCATACATTGTGGCATAAATATTTATAAATAATAAATATTATATCTTACATTAAAAAAAAAAAAAACAATACCTGCTGTTGTGGGGTAAAATAATGCTGCAAAAGATACATGTCCCAACACCACAATATTTATTAGAAGAAATTTTACACCACACATCGATTTCGTACTTTCGTCAAGATTCGTCGAATATAATTGATGTAGAGATTTACAAGGTGATGCTCCGAGAATATACTCGAAAAATTTACCTAAATATAATAAACATTAATAAATTATTATTTCCGTGCAGTTCTCATTCTTAATTATGTTAAAAGTATGTTTTGATAATCTTAAAGACTTACCTTTACTCGCCTTCAAAGGAATAATATGAAGTCTCATTAATATTTCTGTTAACGTTGCCAATCCTACCCATGCAATAAATATGCCGAGAACAATTCTAAATTAAGGCAATTAATATTTTCACATCAATTTACTTAAATATAATTCGTATCATTTAATTAACAATCAATTAAGTAATTATTATTGTATTTATATCTGCTTGAATGTAAGAATATAAATAACATTTCTGTGTTCATAATCACTTAAGAGCTATGTTAAAATTGCATTATTTGAAAAATGTGTTAAATACTTGCTTAATAAAGACTTTTCACTTGTGAAGCTTCGGACTTTAGTTGAGCTTAGTTTATAGGAAGAGAGCTGTTGTGAAACGTAGCCCATGTAGGAAAATAAGGAAAGAAGGCGAGGAAAGAATTACGTAAAGAATGAAAATTGAAAGCTTTGAAAAATGAAAACAGGTAAAATAATTGACTCACATCGCAATGATTAAAATAATCCTGACACAATTATACAGTACAAAGTACCATTTTGGCTGATTGACAGTTATATATACAGAAATCGCATTGTTGATCCATATAAAACAATATATCACAGTAAAATTAAATAGCAGGAAGCATTGCGGCTTGGTGGCTTGTGACGACGTTGTTGACTTGGTAGTTCGTCGTTGGAGGATTGTTGCTTGGGGAGAGTAGGCCACACTTCTCGGAAAATGTGAAAGGTAGTTTGAAGCTCCGGACTGGGTCCGAATCGCTATCAAAATTTGTCTCACAGAAGTTCTAGATCTAAATCACCAAAAATCATTAAACAATTCCTATATAAAGATACACAATGATGGGGACAGACAAACATTTAAGTCCTATCAATATTGGAATTTGGTGTCGAATCGAACGTTGACGTTTAACTTTCCGAAGTTATGAACTAATACTGAATTTTCCTTATAACATCGACGACTTGAAATGACTAACAAGAAAAACACGTGACAATAGGACAAATTGTATTTTGATATCCCAATTCCTTTTTTAGCAGATAGCTATTGAACTGTTATCAAAATATCTTGTCTCTTGTACGTAAGTGTTCTCGAAGGTCTCATCGATTCATTATGTATCTTTCGTAACTCATTCAACAGATTATTCCGTTCGTGTGCCGCCGTCTCTCTTTTTGAACATTCCAATCGATCCGTCGTGTCGAGAAACGTACTACTCAGGTTTTCCCGATAAATTTATATTCTAGAAAATACTGAATCTTAGGATACAAAACGACATTATCCGCTATAGATCGAATAGCGGAAGAAAACTCGCTATTTGTTCGGCTGGAGACCCAGATGTTCGATGTTGACCATGACATTGGACAAGCAAAGATACAACTATCCTGTCGTAATCAAATCACTCGTAGACCTCTGGATGTTGCCCGCATTGAACACTAAAAGTGAGACAATTAAGATTAAAAAGGACTGTACTTTTCTATATTAACTGTAAACCTGGAAGACCTATCGAAAAATCTTGTGAGACTTTAATTTCTCTCTATGTCTAATAAACGGATTATCGCATTTCAACTCCAACAGTTGCAGTGTCAATGAACACGCGCACATACTGACTATTGTCCGTCTTTAGAAATTTTTGTTAGTCAATAATAAAGAACGTTGATACCAGATTGCTATTTCCAGATCATAGTACTGACATAATTAATGTTTTGCTAAATGTTTATTTTTAAACAAGTTTTCTGTGCAATTTTCAAGCAATATTCTGTTGTCAGTTGAGAAGACGTTTACCTGCCTGTTGCATTAACATTATCGAAAAAGTATGACGAAAATTTCTGCTTCGAAGACATACAACTAAGATTTAAAACTGTTTGGAATTGTCGTATATATCACTTTTGATTTATGTTCATATTTTATATTTATACGTCTTTTTTCAATTCTCAATTCTTTTTCTTTCAGTAATATGAAAACCTAGAATGAAACTTCAGTGTTGACACCTTTTAATGTATTTACGACTATTCAACCAAACAAGAGATTCTTTGTTTATTAATGTTCATAAAATATTTAATTTAATTTCATATATTCTATAGCTCATTAACGTTAGTGACTTAAATTCTTATTTTAAAGAATTAATTAATTCAAATTGTATATCTGTGTTCACTTTTCTGTAAAGGATAACACGCAATCATCTGCTGTACATCGAAGACCGGAGGAAAACTTCCTATTATTCGTTTTTATTACTAAATATATTCTGTAATTGTTTTAATTAATTTAAATCTATTTTTGTACTTTTTAAATATGTATAGCGATTTAATATTTATATTTATATATTTCAATAAAGTTGGATATTTTAATAATATTTATTTACTCTTTGTTTTAAATATGTTGTGTATATCTAAAAATTGTATAAACATTTATAATCAATTCGGAGATTAGGTGTTGCACCGAATTTGACAATAAGATCGATTATTTCAGAGAATCAACGAAGCCAAATATGTAGTAACGGTAAATAATCCTAGAAAATCGATTACAGCGACATTAAAACAGTTGTAATGCGATCAAAACTGTATTTTATAATTTTGTTTTATCTTCAACGATAATCTGTGTTGCACCCGTGTCGATAACAAATTGGTAAGAGGTGTGCGATTTTTCGTTTTCACGCTTTTTGGCATAATTTAACCGAGAGATTTTACAAACGAACACATTCGAATCTTTATTTCAGAAACAATTTGTAACTATTTCAGGATTATTTTACACGAGTGTTCTAGTCGAAAAATCAATGGACTAATTGCAGCAACGGGAACATTTATCGCAAATACCGTCTAAGAGACTTTTACCTTCAATCTATGGCTTAGCAAGAAATAAAATATCATATGCAGAATAAACAAGAAAAATCCAATAATTTCACGAAATAATTTCTCCTAAATACGACCATATTAATATGTTGCTTTGGGAAAAATTACTCTAATTTTTTCAGTTTTGTCATGTGTAAAGTCTAATGTGGCAGTTGTTTCGTGACTTTTTTTACGTATATTTTACGGTGTCATACCAGACAGTTCCGAGTCAAGTAAAAAAAGATTCAATTGAAAGAACAGACAGTAAATTATCGCTTATTTTATTAAGCGATTGAGTGAATGATAAAAAAAAAAGGTTAAAGGTCGACCGATAACGGAATATTCCATTATAGTAAAAAGCAGAACACATAAAGCAGAAGCAGAAACGGTTGATAATTTATATTAAACACAAAAATCAAAATAAACGATGCGCATTCAAATAGAAAATAAATTTCTCTTTAATATCATGTAATGTGCTTCAGAACAAAATAGATTCGATTTGCAATTTTCCTTGTTAAATTTATTTTTGTCTTAAGTTTATTGATTAA